GGGGGGGGGGGGGGGGGAGTGAGCCCAGTGACATCCATGTGCAGTTTGTTTCATGCCAATTAGATGAACAGATCCTCCCAAAAGGTGCAGTAAAGTGAAAACAGTTTGATTGTTAGCCTGGAATCCTAACGCTAATTGTTTCAGAAATGCTCACTCAGCCATCTCCAGGGATTAAACAAGGATCCTTCAAAGTCACCGTGGGGAGGGGAGGAATAATCATATATTGTGGCAATGCAGAAGACTTTGCAAAGAAGGGGTGCTCCCCTTCAAGGATCTTCCCAAGAATTTTTTTTTTTCTTTAAAGGGATGGGGTGGGGAGAGAGAGACGTCCCCCCTCAAGTTGTGCCTCCCCTAGAAAATGTGGAGCTGCTGAGATTCCTTCTCTGCGCCCCACCCCCAGTTTATTTTAGCTGCTGGGCCAGTGCAGATCTAGCTACGATTTACGTGAATTCGCTTAGGAGGGCTGAGAGTGTTGCTCAGAGTCAGTCAAGCACAAAAGGGAAGGAAAGAAAAAAAAAGGGGGGGGGGGAAGTTTGTTTTTTTTTTAAATGCCTGAAGTTCATACTTTTGACTCATTAAACTGGCACCCATTTCCCACCAAGATCAGCAAAAATGACAGCTGGGCTCCTTTATAAGGCCGTCAGAAATTCAAACTGCAATGAGCCAAGGAGGACATCTCACAGCAACCAGAGGATGCCTGGGAGTCAGGCGTGAATGCCAATGAGTCAAATGAAAGGAGCAAAACCAAATATGAGCCTTTCCCCCGCTACAAAATCTCCCGCTGCCTGGGCCCCCAGCGCTTATGCTTGCTCCCTTTTACTTAATGTAAAAGCTTTTCCGATGGGGAGAAACAGGCACCCCCCACCCTCCCCATCTCACCTGCCAAGGTTGTTTTTGTTTAAACAAATCTGCAAGGGCTCTCTGCATCCTGAAAAGCTGACCCAATAAGACCCCGCTGTCACAACGCATTTCTATGAAAAGTTGTTATCTATCTATCTATCTATATGGTCGCAGCAGAGCCCAGGCTCAGCAGTCTGCTGGCTAGGAAAAGTGCAAAGCAAGTGGAGGACAATGTCAGCTGGATCAAGGGAGAACTTTAAATAAAGGACGGGATACCCAGGCTCAAAAAAAAATAATAAAAATCTAGCTTTCTACACAGAGCCATTCAGGGCAGCGATTTTAGGGGCCTTTATGAAAAAGTAACATCCCCCCGTACGGAAAACAAACCCCCCCCATTCATTTCCTTCCAAAAATTGCTGAAAAAGCATTTAACCCCCAGGAAAACTCCCTTGGCAGCCCCATATTAGCACCCCGCCCCCTGCAAGAAAGAAAGGGTGGGCAAAGAGCACCCCAGCAGCAATTGCATCCCAGCCCAAGCGAGAAGGTGGGCAATCTCTCTTACCTGGGACCCCGCTGCCCCCCGCAAGCCTGCCCGTGGAGAAGAGGGCGACCAGCAAACAAAAGTCCCACCGCGGCAAGCAAACAGTCCCCATGTTCATGATAGGATGCAATGCAGCTGGTGCGCGGCTTTGATAAGAGACGCGCCCGGGACTGGCAGAGGGGAGCCGGAGACACTGACGCGCTGACAGCATCCCGCTGATTCGCAGAGGGACCCGCGGGGTAGGCGGGACAGACAGGGACTAGTGCCAATCCCGCATCAGGCGCGGGAGTGGGGGGAGGGGTTGCTGGGAGAGGGCATTGAACTCTCTCCCCTTCTCCCTCTGAGAGCGCCCCGGCCCCTCCTGCCCCCGCCCCCAGGCTCTCTCCCGGAGCATGAGTGCTCCCAGGTGAGCAGCACCGAGTCCTTGCTTTTCTACCTTTTCTTCCCGTGCCTGAAGAAGCGTGTTTGTGCCCCAAAGCTTTCAAAGAATAACTCTCCCCAACTATTGAGTTGGCCTAATAGAAGATTTCACCCACAGAACCTTCCCTGTCCCTGCCAGCAGTGCTTTTTTAAAAGTAATTTATTTGCCTCAGATCCTCCAAGCTGTCACTTGATCCCTTGAATCTCGCTGCCTCTCCCTGTCTGCCCCAGTAGCTCCCTCCTCCTCCTGCTCCAGGTACCTCCTGAGCCTCCCAGCCCCTGTGTGCCCCCTGCCCCCCGAGATTCAGTGAGCACTCGCCTAGCTCCTTTCACACACTGGCTTTGAAGTCCAGCAAACCCAACAGTAGATCTCCTTGACAACCAATAAGAGGGATTTTTTGACCCCCCCCACTGCTTTTTGAGTTCAGACTAAAAGAAAACTTTTTTTGTCAGCCTTGCCTTTCCCCAGACTCATCTCTCTCTTAGGACTGCCTTTTTCACGTGCATCAGGTCATTACCATGAAGCCCAGCCATTACATTTCCATAAGGTTTTAGCAGCAATCTGGGGCTTTTCCAGAAAGTGAGAACAGCCAAGGCAATGGTCTCCGTGTGTTTCACTGACCATCCTCCCACAATGGCTAGCGGTGCCCACTTGCTCCTCGTTCACTATGTAACTCCAGCCTTCAGAAACTTAAAAAGTGACTGGACTGAGGGACAAATGACAGAAAAAAACTGTCCCTTGTCCCCAGGTACAGGCCCACCCATTACAGCTTGTACTGTCATGTAGTGGGGGAAGAAAAAAAATCCCCCCCGAACAGACATAACTGGGTACATTTTTGTTTAAAGAATGAATTTCATGCCCACCCCTTTTGAGAAATCTTTTGATGGCAAGGTGAAACTTGAGAAGCTTTCTTTTGAAAAGGGTAAAACTGGAAACCTGCAAGTGTTGAACCCCAGTCAGGGTTTAAAGGGTTGTGAAATATTTTGTAGGTCCACCTTGTTCAATCTGATTTTATACCCTTGGGGGGGGTGTATATATGTGTATGTATGTATGTATGTATGCACAGAACTCACCCCACTGGAAGTGCAGCAGGCTCATCTCTGAAATCTCCCATGCCTCTTGTAAATAACATACACTTCGCAGACCCATCGATCAAAAAAAGTGGCACCTCAGGTTACCAAATTGCCTGTTTCCAGCACTCTGCATTTCTTTTTATTTATGAGTGTCTTAAAGCCTCCTGCAGTTTGAAGGAAGGGAAGGAAAACTTTTTCACTCCTCGGTGCAAATTTGGACTAATGAAGAATGTTTTACTTAAATTGTCTCTCTCTCCCTCTGTACAATGATCTACTGTCAAACTGGTATTGATTAGTTCAAGGGTCCATGGCATAAAAGTCATTTGATTTGCAACTATTTAAACTTCTGCTTTGAGCATTAATCCTTTGGTCTACGTCTCTTGTGACTACAATCCCTTATTTTGGGGTTAGTACATTAATGTGCAGTTGTGAGCTCTTTGCTGAAGTCTTCCATGAATATACTAGAAAGTTGCTTCTCTGGGGGTCCCCCGAGGCTACCTGGTACCTTAGAGCTCCACCTAGTGAATTTTATTGCATGCTGAAGCAGAAGTCTCCTTAATAAAGAGCTGTGGCAGTTGAATAGCCGTTCTCTAATAACCTCTGTGAACCAGTTAGTCTCTAAGGTGCCAACCTGCTTTACCTTCTGCCACACCCTAATAATTAAGTACCACCAGCACCTGAGCCTGGTGGAAAATACTCAGACAACACCCTTATTTTCAGTGAGGTTGTAACAGGAATTTTACCCTGGACTGTAAGAGGCAGGGCTCCAGAAGGCTATCATGGAGGATAACCTAACTTTTCTATTTTGTTGTTCTCTGAAGTTATCATTTCAAACTGCTTTTTTCTTTTTCATTCATTTTCATGAAACCACCTTGAAATGGCAGGCAACCTTTGCTTGTCAGTCAATCAGAAATATCTGATTATACCTCTAAGAATCAGAAAAGATCAGAACCATCTAAGAACGGGATTGCATTGACTTCTGAAGAATTGAGAAAATATGTTTTATAAAATCAGTAAAATAATTCTAGTCAACTGCTTTGGTAATTTGCTCTTTCAGGTACAGGAAAAGGTATTATGTTAAATGCTTTGAAAGTCAAATTTAAATAACTTTGTAAGTCAAATGCTTTTTTTCCCCCACATCCACCCATGCCTCAGATTGCTTTCCAGGTAATATTTTATGTAATGTAAAACTACTTTGCACTCAGAATTGCTCATAAGGGATTAATAAAGCTGGATCACAACTTTTTCCTTCATAATACTGGATAAAATGTTTCCCAGTGCATCCTCCCTCATGGAGCATAACCTATCTGCCAGACCTCCCTTTCAAATTGAATAGCTGATTGCAATAATGGCAGAATTGCATGAGGAATGTTTGGACTGTGCCTACCACAGAATGGCCCTGAACCTTATTATGAGTTCCTGGGTATTGAGTATACATTGAAGGGCTCTCAAACTGCTTTCACTCTTAGGGGTCAGATTTGAATATAGTAACTGAATTTTCTTGGAGGAACATCCTTTCCATTTGTAGCCCACCTCGCTGCCTGTCTGTAATCACACATCAACTCTGTGGTGATTATATAAATTACTTGTGTGGAAAAACAATATTAGGAGTAATGTATCTTAATCTGGTTCCTGAGGAGATGCCCCAGAGAGAGGGGCAATGTTGTGAAGGCACAGAGAGAGGGCAGCCTTAATGCGAAGCCCCAGAGAGAGGGCAGCATTATTGTGAAGGCCCAGAAAGAGGGCAGTATCACTGAGGAGCCCCATAGAAGGGGAGTAGCACTATTGTGAAAGCCCAGAGAGAGGGCGACGAGACTGTGAAGGCCCAGAGAGAGGACGATGATACTGAAGGCCCGGAGAGAGGACCATGACACCAAAAAGCCCAGAGAGAGGCTGATGACATTGTAAAGGCCCAGAGAGAGGGCAACAATAGCCAGGTCCGTAGGAACCAAGCCACGGGGCTAGGTGAACAAAAAAAGCACCCTAGCAGTCAAATAGGAGCACGGGGTGTATCTTGGGTGCACGCAGAGTGCACGGTGTCGGTGGTGGTTTTCTCGTGTTTTTCTTTTGCTTTAGAGCATTTTGTGTTTCCCCATGCTGGAAGGGGTTGAGGCAGAGGGAAGCGAGGAAAACAGAATAAGGGGCTGTATGTTTATTGATTGAAAGACACTCGTGGTGCACAAGAACGGCCGCAGGATCGACAGTGACCTGCCAAGCTGGGTATAGGGCGAGGTAGAGGGGAGGTGGAGCCTCGCGGAAGACCGCCAAAGGAACGAGTGGCCAGCGAGGGAAACCGCGTAGTACTGAGCCCCACCACTGAAGAAGATTCAAAGTCGTGGCAGGCGAGAAAGGGGTGATCTGCATCATGTGTAAAGACCTCCTCGAAAGACCACCTGCGATGGCAGGGCGGATCCCAGTGAGCTCCCAAACCAAAGAGACATGGGGCAAGATGTTTGAGGCTAGGCAGGCACACATATTTTTCCATTAAAGAAGGTAAGATGTTCATTATGACTTATCCTTTTCAGAAATACTAACTGGACTCCATGAAAATTTGCTCTTGAAACAGGTTCTTCACAGAAAGCTAAAGACATAAAGCATGGTTTACTAATTCTAGACTTCCTTGCTTTTGAAGATATGATTTACTGATCATGGAACATTTAGGATTAGGCAGATCACTTGTGTTACCAACTCTTTCATTTCAGTGTTCCAGGACAATCATATTCCTCCAAGATAGTGGCCTGTCATGGCTGACATTTACTTCAGAAATTAAGAAACAGTCTCAGGTAGCATACAGGATGGCATTCTTGTCTAGTGGACTGAGAACCCAGAGCCCTACACTGTCTTCCCAGATCTGCTGCTAACCCGCTGTGTGCACCAGAGTGGTTCACTTTACTGTTCTGTGCTTGCTTCCCGTTTGTCTATGAAGAGAGCAAATGCTTTGTGGCAGGGACTCTTTCACAGTGTGAATGTGCAATGCCTAGCACAATGTGGCCACAATCTCAGTGAAATTCTTTAGACTCTCCTGCAAGGCGAAAAATATTTTGATAATTTTTGACCAGTAAGACCACAACAGAAAATTCCTTTACTTTGGAGCAAATTCATGGTTATCCTACACAGTGGTGGAGAGAATTCTAAATGAAATCTTAAGGCCCTCACCAGGCAGAGGAGGGGAAAGCAGAGTCCAGGGATTTGCCAAGGAATTGTCTTTTTAACTGTATGTCCCTGTCAGTTTGTGGCATGTTGGGCTTTTTGTGGATGGTGAGAAGGAAGGTGGCAATTATGATTCTTTCCATTAAAAAAAAGTCAGCCTTGATAATATGATAGAGTATTGTTCATTTCTGTAGTCCTCAGGTTTGGGAGCATACACTGAACTGGACCTGACAGAGAGAGGCAGAGCCACAAACTGTAGGCCAGGTAATTTCTTCCCCCCAAAAAACACATTATTGAGCATTGCCTAGCAGTTACCAGATATTGGAATCTGTTATGTGTTGGTATGGCCCTGTATTTAGAATCCAAAATAAACAGATTCGATCCAGGAATGTGCTATATTAGAGCTTAGACTAATAACTGAATGGTCCCATCTAACCTTAAAATCTACAAATAAATGCATCTGTATTTTTTTTTTAGTAGCAGCCACAACCACCTTAGAAATGAAGAACATCCTTGTGTCAAAATCACTG